CCATATGTTACGACTGAAATTTAGCTACCACATGCAAATTCTTGCTGCTGCAACTAATCTTTTTTTTCCGTGAATGCATAATACTTTTCTTCTAAAGTTGAGAATCTTTTGCAGCTGAAATGTTTTTTATGACACTACCCAACAAGATATAATTTATTAAATTGATTATGAGTTAATGTTAAAGTGATGATATCGACGTCGATTTAACATTGATTTGACATCTAATTGACGGTCATATTTCGCTGGATAATTATTACAGATTTTCTTAAATGTAATTTTTAAAAGGATACCATATATATTTTTGCATTATAAGCATTTTGCGTATGTTATTTTATGATTTAATCTAATTTAAAGATGCAAGATCAAATTAAAAAAACACTTTTTGGTGACAGTATCATTATAGAAATACTTAATGTCAAATTTTTTTTATAATTTTATTGGCTACAATTAATGTAATACCCTATGAAGAATGAAGTTTTTAAGATAGTAAACAGCTTATTTATGACCGTAAAATTTTTTATCAAAATTTTGTATACAATATTTATACTGTAATATTTATACTCTCTAAATATTTATACTGTATAGTATTAAACATTCATTTTATATAAGATTCATATTGTAAAACACTATATATTATATAAAACAATTATTTAAAAAATTATTAAAATATAACTTTATTACATATATATTTTATTATTTGTGCGTATGTCAACATTCTTCCTTACTCAAATTAATTAATTCGCTATGTAACAAGTGAGGCACCATCATTTGTGAGAAAAATGGATAACTAGTTAAAAAAGGAGAGTTTCTAAATTAAGAAATATTCCCAAGTGTAATTCTTAAAAGTGTGATTCTATCTTTGCTTATATGTATATTTTAACCCTTTGTTGCATAGTGTGTTTTCACTATGAAATTTTCAATTATTTTTAGATTATCCGAAACTCATAACAGTACCAAAAAAGCTCATACTTATTTTACTAAAATAATAAAAACGAAGAAATTAAGGGCATATACCACGAACGTTCGATGTTTTGTAGCAAAACTTATATTAAAGTCAATACATATAGAATTACAATTAATAAATAGACGTTTCGGCCTTCAATTAGACCATCCTCAGTATATAAAATTAAAAAATATAATAAAAACGAAATGGTACAATTAATTTGAGATCTTTCTTTTTTAACATGTCTGCATGTATATATGTATATACATATATGCTCGTTGAATTTATTTTTCTACTTTCTTTAGTTAGTTACATATTTTTGAATGTATCCAGCGAATTTCGTCTTATATTCTAAATTGTTTCCAATAGCTTATTAGGTTGTAATTAAAATAATAAAGAAACATTCGGAGAACACACATTTATGTTTTTAGTTTATCTTCAGAGAGCTTTTTTGCAATACTTATTGTTATATGTAGATAAGATAGAAGCGTATTCCTGCCGTACCGATTGGGCACTTTCGTTTGTTTCCTTTCATAGTCGACTGTTCGGAGTAATCGGAGTAATTCGGACTGATTCGGACTTATACGAACTTATATCGTACTGAACCGATAACAACACCGTACTATCGATCTGAAAGGATTACGCTCGTCCGGCTCGTCCTTCTTACATCACGATCGTCGGCGTTCACGCTACGCTCCAGATTTTCATGCAGAATACAACGTACAGTATCTGTTATTCCCATTCGGTCTCTCAACACAGTGATATTTCACGGCGTGCAAAACGAGAACGTTTCAGGAAACGAACGGGCGATAACGGGCGATCTGAGATGGCTTGCGAGGCCTGCAATGCAAAGTTCAACTTGTTTAAGAGAAAAGTGAGTGGATACTCTCATCGGGGACACCTGGCCCTTCTCCTTCGCTGTACGACCGGGATTCCAAGGGCGATCCAACAATTCGACAAACCTTGACAAGTCATGCCTGTCCGGACAATGAATTCGAGCCTTCTTCAAATTGTCATGCTAATGTCACCGTAGAACCAAGTGACACAGATTCACTGCGTACTAAATTATTTAGCAATTAACATTTGACCTTTCTCTATTAGGTAATCTAGAATTTTTTTTTATTAAGGACTCCACAGTAATCTGGTTCCAATTTATTTGCCTGATATTCGATCGAATTTTATCACAATTCTTCATTGCGAAATTCTGGTTTAATGTGTTTGACATATATATTTATATTCTCCCCTCGTATAATTTTTAGAAACAATGCGTGGACTGCCTAAGGTATTTCTGTTCCGAATGTGTAATCAAACGGTTCGACAAGGTGTTCACCTGCGATAGCTGTGGTCTATTGTCAATAAGGCCACTCATCAGAAATCAAATCAGACAGATACGTTCTAGGGACTTGCGTCAATATCTTGTGGCAAAAAAAGTTTCTGTCAAGGGTTGTGTCGGTACGTGCGTTAATATGTATAATGCTGCCTGCCAACATGCCCCCCTCTCCCCCCCCCTCTCTCTCTTTCTCTGTAATAATAGTTTCTCAATATTAATTTCATAAGAACTTAAAGAATTTTTTATAAAACTATACCTGAATTTCAGAGAAAGAAGACTTGGTGCATTTATTAATGCTTTTTGCTAATGGAACTGACTCGAGCTTAACTTCTGACTACAGTACAAGCGCTAGGACGCAAAATGCTGCTGAAGAACCACAGTACGTTTTACATTGCAGTGTATATAATTACTGGCAGTTTAGACTTAACGAAAAGAACAGGCAATAGAAACAGGGAATAACAGCTTTCAACTTATTAAGACCTAATTACATCGAAATACACAATTTTTAATAGATTGAAATCTGTTATTTTCTATTCCTATTACTTGTGCTTTTCAGTTGTGTATAATTAGGCTTAACACTTGAATTCTTTGAGAGTCAAGTTTTATGCATAAAATGTAAACTCTTGTTGCTTTATTTTAATACAAAATTTATATAAATTATATATTCCTCTTTTAAAAATATTTTTTTAAATAATACAACTGTTTAGTTCCAGAATTGATCCTTCTTTAAACAGAACGGAAAATATGCCAAATGTTAGTACTGCAAATAATGAACCTGGTGGTAACGCGGCGAACATGCAGACATTAGCGGAACCCGTAAGAAACGAGGACATTGAAATGGCAGAAGAAACAAATGAAAGTAGTCATAGTAGTCCGATTATTAGTGTTCCACTTAGCAGTGATAGCGAATCACCCGAAGAAAGACCGACGAAAAATACTGACCTCTTAATAGAAGAAATATTTGGGAATGATAGCAGTCCAACTGGGTCCAGTACTGCATCGCAGCCAGTAATCATCGAGCAGGAGGAAGTTCCCGAAACGTCGAATGAAAAAAAATCGGATATGGTCACAGAGATTCCTACGGTATACATACGCTTGTAAGCAACATTTATGAAATACTTGTACAGTATTTATTGTATTTTATCTCTTTTTGTGCAGTGGTCAGATAAGGTGCAATTATCAGACATAAAAGAAGCGTCAGAACTAGAGTATCTAAGTATTAAACAATTAAAAAATTTGTTGAGTACAAATCGCGTAGATTATAAAGGCTGCATAGAGAGACCAGATTTACTGAACAAAGTGACCAGATTATGGCAGGAGTATAATCAGTCTCGAAAAGGTATTATATCATAATACAACAGGATAATATTTATATTCATATTAAATATGTCAGTTGTTCTTTAGACAGTAAAGAACAACTTATATAAGTATAAAAGATTGTTTAATATAAAAGATATATCTTATTACGTTCTGTCAATTATCGTAAATAAATTACTTACAGATGTGGAACAACTCAGCCAGGAAGAATTGTGTAAAATTTGCTGGGATGCTCCAATTGAGTGTGTTATTTTGGAATGCGGTCATATGGCTTGTTGCATAAATTGTGGTAAACAAATGTCCGAATGTCCGATATGCAAACAATATGTTGTTCGTGTTGTACGATTTTTTAAAGCCTAAAAAAATGCAACGATTGGATAATCGCGACTGATAATTTTGTGCACCTCCCAGTTTTCATAGATCGTGTAATTATACGACGTGTATATTATAAAGCAAAATTTATCTATGATAAAGAATGAAATTGTATTATAAAACGCCAAATTTTTGTGCTATGATTTGCGGTGAATTTCGATGAACAATAAGAACTAGTCCTGTACAAAAAGACAAATTTTATGCTGTCTCGACCTTCAAGTTCAAGTTGATTGATCTTGTGGCATGTTTTGTCATTTTAATTACAGTTCAGAACTCTTCCTAGACAGAGGATAGTATTTAAAAAAAAGAATAAATATCGTTATATCATATATTAGTTACATCAATTAAATTAAACTACATATATGTATGTATACATATGTACATATGTATATGCGTGTGCGATGTACATATGAATGTATATCGCAAGGAATATTACTAGGGTATAATACAAAGTTTTTATATTGTGGAGTTGTGTGTGTATATATATTTGTGCACATCTTATAACACTCCAATCTCCTGTGATGCTGGAAATTTTGTAAATTCTGTGTTGTACAGAATGTATGTTTTTTATGAAAATAAATAATATATAAATTCTAAATACAGAATTAAAAAACTAAAGTCTTTTCTCTATGGAATTTTTTAAAGACTTTTAGTAGCAGAGTTTAAATTTAATTATATTTCTTTAACTCCTTGTACTAAATAATGTGTTTAAGTAATAAAATTTATACTAATGACAATAATTAAACTGTCGATAATTGTGGTGTCTATATACAGACATGAGGTCTGTTCGTGCTGCTTGCACTTTTTGCACTCAGCACATTCGCTTATTCTCTCTCTTCAATGCCTGAATATATTTATCTCATTTTAAAAGTGCAAACATTTTTGGGGATTTCAAGCAACGTGAACAAACCTCACAGCACTTCGTAGGTCGCGTTGCTTGAAATCCCCAAAAATGTTTACATTTAAAAAAGGATAAATATATATTCAGGCATTGAAAAGAGAGAGAACCAAGATGTTAAGTGCAAAAAGTGCAAGCAACGTGAACAGACCGAAGTACAGATTTTCAGTACCATCAGAACGTTTCGAAACGCACCAATTCAGAGAATTAAAAGCGCGGGAAACAAAACGCATGCGCAGCCTGTAAAATTACAACGTTCTAACCAGTTCCAAGCAATCCAAACTGTGCAATATTTATCTTTTAAATCAATGTATTATAGTACTTCATAAACATTACCAGCAGGCTGAATTGTCTCCGTCTGGAGGCAGGAATCAAAACGAGAAAAGAAGATCATTTTGCATCAGGAAAGCTTCTATATGAAACAAGACTGATAATCATGGAACTAGAAACAAAAAATAAAATAATTGCTAATTATAATATGTTCTTCTATGCGACCACGTGTCACGTTTGCAAACGGTTTGGAGACGGCGTCTGTTTGAAGAAATGTGGTGGCTGCAAAATGATCGCCTATTGTGGTCGACAGCATCAGAAGCAGCACTGGTCGCAGCATAAATCTTTGTGCAAAGCCACACAGGACGTACTGCGAGAGTTCAGACTGGAAGACTATAGTGTAACTTCGGAGGAGTGGGACGACAAAAAACTGAACTTGATCCTGCTTGTGTCATTCAAGCTGGGACGTCCTCTAGAAATTTACGAGAAAGAAATGTTCCAGTTTCCAAGGGAATGTACAGTCTGCCATGAACAGGATGGTCAGTTGTTGGAGGATTGTCAGAGCTGTGCATCTGTCAGCTTCTGTAAATATCACAAAGATAGCATTAAACATGAACACACTTGCGTTCCCCTAGAACTATGTTTTCATTCAAATTTATTGTTTATAAATGGAGAAAACAATACTTTGGATCTGCATTACTTGCAACACGTTTGTGACACTGATACATTTCGGAACATGAATGACTTTATAAATACTTATGGAAATATTCAGACTGAATCGGAAATGTTATACAACATCTTAGCAGCCAGACACTCACAATATATCACACGTCCCTTGACGTTGTTCCATGCCATGCAAATATTAGACTATGTACCACAACGCAAAGATTTAGTCATTCATGTTGTAGCTGCAAATTATATTGAAGAAACTACCTTGATGACATGGGAAATCCTGCTGCATTTAATAAAGGCTACAATATCGCTGGTAGTTATAATGATTGGGCCGGAATTAAAATATAAATCCAATCCATTACGTATTTGTGATAACTGTATGCTGCAAAAGAAGAAACTTTCATTAGAGTTTCACGATGTGTTGTATGAGAACTACGTACGCAACCCATTATTCATAAAACCGGACTTGGTTGTGGGATTTAATGCGGGTATTCACGAGCATATCTCCAATGGAGAAACATGGACACCATCCATACAGATGCTAATGAAACAAAATTGTCCGTTAATCTTAACATGTTATATGCAAAAAGAATTAGAGCAAGAGATAAACAGAATAAACACTATCCTGGATAGAAAAGTAAATTATCTCTATAGTGGGAAGAATCCATTTGCTAGTTTAAGACCATTCAGAATCCTTGGGCCTGAGCAAGTGTTTTATCAGAATCATTATTTAATCGTCTACAGGAGTCTTTGTTCATAACTGATATGCATAATCAGAGTTGGGAACTTAAAAAAAAATAACGCGTTACTGTTACCGTTTCTAATTTCTCACTTTAAAAAGTAACGCGTTACCGTTACTTATAGAATTTTATTCACTTCAGCTTACAAATTGCCAAGAAGAGGACTTGGTTCAATTATTTCTTACCACACACATCCATCCATACCTTTCTTATCGTTTAGTTCATCTCGCTTATCCTAGATATTATCCTCTGTTCCCAATACTCTTATTTTTTTTCTCACCCTAACTATATTCACAGTCATTTAAATTCACAACCTGTTCACAGCACTCGTTTCAGACTACCTATCTTACAACTATCTTACAAGAAGTACATATATTTCGCATATGATCTTTACCTATCAACCACGCCCTAGTGCCTCATGATCTATCATTTCACCATTATTTCTATTGCCTCTTATCCTTATCCTGTTTTTCCTTACTTCTAATTACTTTCTCTCTCTCCTTCCATAATTTACTTATCATTGTCCCTTTCGTCTCATCTAGATTTTCGTCCCATAATATATCTCTAAAATTTCATTATCCTCCCTTCCCAAATCTTTGAAATTGACCTTTATATATATATATATATATATACCTTTACACTCCAAAGCATAATGCATAATATTATCCCTACCCTCTCCGTAGAAAATGCATCTCCTTTTTTCCTCTATCCAATAATTATTGTCTTCTTTATCCAATACTTATTATCTTCTTACGTTACCGTTACTTGAAAAAATAACGAATCGTTACTTTTTCGTTACTTTTCTGGAAATTGTTGATTTATTTCCTTCACATACAATGTGGATAAAATTAGGCTTATTCGACGCGCTTTTGCACAAAAAACGACCGAATTTGGCAGAAACAATCGTTGGGAACTAAATTCAACATAATTACCGAATTTAAATTAAATATTATTTTTAAACTTTAATGTCATTATTAAGAATGTATAACGTATTACTTTCCAACTCTGTATAATATAAGCGACCAATGCAAATTAAAAGCTGCATTGAAGAAAACGTCAAATGAAGCCGTGAAGGATTCGTACTAAATTCCAACCATTGATATTCCTTATAGAAATCTAATAAAAACTGGCCAATACTAAAAGGCAGTGTTGAAATAATTAATAATTTTATCAAATTAATTCAGCTATCGATAGATTGCATTGAACTTTGTTGCTATTAATATTGATTCTAACAATTTTAATGGATTCTAATTTTATTTGTTCTATAATTTCAACATTTCCCAACTATTTTGTCAAGACATCTATGATAATGATCTACGAATTTACTGAAGATGGTTCGAAGAAAACTGAAACGTCCAAATAAGTTTGTATCGACAATCATTGTACAATTTTAATATATTATGTGAATATTATATTTGACTATTATATAAATTGCGCACCAATTCCCGCGCTGTGTTAACGCTCTCATTGTCCGTATATTATATTATTGTTTTTTAATTTCGAGAGCCCGATTAGCATTTAAATTTTGATTTTTATTTGTTTTACATTCGTGATGCATGAATATCGTCTTTGATGCTCGTCCCTTTTCTTAGCGAACCTTCGTGCATTGCAGATGTATAAGGCCTTACGAATCCGATTATTATTAAATAGGAATGTCGCAACAGATAAATTTAGTTAATAAGTTATTTTCATTGTAAATACATTGATATATATTTAAATTTTGTACGCTAATATAAATAATTAGTATTTATGAAGATAATTCATATGAAACATATATTGACATATAATTTATGATATCTTCTATTATCTCTCTTGTAAATTTATTAAGCGTTTTCTTTCTCATTCATGGAATTAAATAATTTGTAAATGAAATACGATTGAATCTTTATTTAAATGAATAAGTCGTATACTCTCAACAGGCAGTAATTAATAACTTATTTTAAGTTTTAAAAGCACTGTTCAGTATTTTTAATATTCCAGTAAATAATTAATTACTGTCTTTAAGCAATAAATTAGCTAGTATTAGATTTCGGTGAAGAATGAATATTTTGATATACTTATTTATCAGTAATTCCGTAACACTCAAAATCTTTAGAGTGTCTCCGTATTTATAATCTAAAAATCTCAGGGACCATTTCTACTATTTTTACTATATATTACGAGTCAGTTGCATTGTATTAGTCGAGCTATATTTTTAATGGATTATAAATATAGCAGGATACACGTAAAGGCAGTAAGTATAAAATATAACACAATTATTTTTCACCAATTTTGTAATAAAGACAAGATTTTTGTCAATTGTTTGTAATAAAATATTTATCTTTGTAATAAATTATATATTAAGCATTTTTTTTAAATGAAAATCATTTTTTCTTCCTTGACATTTCTAATTGCAAGATCTTTGATAACACGCGTTTGATAACAGCTGTCTGCGACAGTTGAAAACAATGGCAGAGATCGAATGGCCCTGGCAATACAGTTTCCCGCCGTTTTTTACGTGAGTATCACCGCGAGAAGTGTATTCCAAGAATTAGTAATATTACTGATAATAGCATATACGTACTAAAGATTAACAAAATTCAATAGATGTTACCGTAAAATGTCATTTGATGAAACTTGCATGTCACAGGTTAGGAACGTAGGTTATACACAAAAAGCGTATTTACCAATCTGGCGATAATACATTTGAAAAATATTCCAACTTTTGCCACATGACTTCGCTTTATTCATTGCAGGCTTCAACCTCACGCAGATACTAGAGCTAAACAAATAGCGGCTTGGAAGAGCCTGGTGCTCGAATACTATCGTATCACAAAACAGGCGGTCGTAGATGTGCGCGAGATTCACACAAATTCTCTATTTAATAATACCAGCATAAACAGTATCCTTTCTTATTCGTCACATCGAATGATAATTATCTTCTATAATTTTGTCGTACGTTATTTAATGTAACACCAATCCCTGTCATGTATTACTACTTTCAGCAATTCATTTATCGTCATCTATTACAAAAATTTCCTAACAAACACCAACAATAATATAACTCTTATTTCCTATTCAACAATATAACTGCAATATAATATATATAATAGTTGTGTTGTTGAATGGGAAATTAACTGACAGTTATGTTACTGTTAGTTGATGCAATATTTGCTGGATTATTACTGTAGTTTCTTAATAGCTAATGCATATTAATTAAAATAGTTACTCTACTATTGAAAGCTCCTTAACAACATAATAACAGGAAAATTACCGTCCGAAGCTGTGCTAGTGATATTGGAAGAATTAGGGAAATCAGGAAATGCGTCCCCACTAGACAAGACAAAGCAGAGATGGTTGGTTTATTGGCACACTTTAGAGGAATGGGGAGATATAATATATAATTGGGCACAGGAGAATGGGTTCATTGGCTCTGTGTGTACATTTTTCGAACTGACACAAGGGGAGGACACAAGTGAACAAGGTACATTGTAAAATTTATTTTTGATCTATTCATCCGTATTATTAGAAATAATCATTAATAATTATATTGCTTATTTTAGAATTTCACGGTCTGGATACAGAAGTGCTAATCAGGTCACTGAAGACATTAGAAGCTGCAAAAAAAGCAGAGATTATCTCGTTCGATGATAATCAAGGTGTTAAATTTTTCTAACGCGGGAAAGTTTTTACCATTCGTCGGGTTATATAGTTATGTAAATTGTATTTAATTAATAAGTGATGTAAAAAACTATAACATTGCTCATAAATGCAAACATTTATTTAACGCAATAATACATTTTTCTTTTTCTTTTCTTACAAAAAAAAGGCAAACCAAAATCGATCGGATGCTAAACTAACATGAAGTACAAATGTGAGAAGACTTGATGATTTTGAATATGAAATTAATGTAGCTAGTTATATAGCTTTTAAGATAATTATATACGGCACATAGATTTACTCGAAATGAGAAAGCACAAAAATCGTAATGAAAATAACTTCCTGTGCCAAAGTCAAGGTGTTAAAATCAGAACGAACAAATTATATAAACTTAAAATCCAACTACACTTTTCTTGTATAAATTAATACTTTTGCATTAAGTGTCAAACTTAAAAAGAAAATGATCAAGCGTCTTAATTTAATTAAAAGTACTAATGGTAAATTCGATCACTTGCACTATACTGGATTAGTGCACATTAAAGGCTGCTTTATATAAAGCATCTAAATACAGTGGCATTAAACAATCAACTTTAACAATGAAATAATACATAAGTATATAAATAACGTGACATTATTAAGTATAATATTATTGGTGACATTCCACTGTTTTATAATATTCACATATGCTTTTATATTTAACTTAGCTAATTTCATGTATAGCAGCTTTTAATGTGCACTAATCTAGTATAACGCAAGTGAATGAATTCTACAAGTTCCTACTAAAAGGCACTGTAATCACATCATTCTTATGAATTATTTCGCTTCGGAATTACAGTCTTTGGAAACAAAAAACTAGAACATTTCATTTTGTTTCAAAATTAATATATTGCGATGTATCTCTTATTCTCGAGCTTCAATGCAAAAAGAAAAGTACAAAAGCTAAATTGGAATTAAAAACTATATTTTATAAACATATATACAGCATACTTGCTTGACATTTTTTAATGAATGACAACGCGAAGTAATTAAAGATAAAACGACCATGGACATACCATTCTGTGGAATTTTCTTGAAAAATTGTCGCTTTATTTTATTAAAGGTTCGCGACTTTTTCAATCAAGTTTTTAGGAAGCGAATTTGATGTTACATGGCGCATCGATTTCGCTAGCGAGACCGAGAGAGAAAAACAGAAAGTGGTGAGATACAATCGTAAATATGTTCCACTATAAATATGAACATGATCTAAATTGTTATTTACAAGACGATACAACTTCACTGCATTTAATTTTCTTTCCCTCTCAGCTCCAGAGGCGTCGTTATTTTCCTCTTGAATAGCAAAATATGTGGTTCTGAAATAATTCATTTGATTAGAAATCTTCAAAAGATGCACAACATGCAGAGAAATCAAACTAACATAAATATTATATTAATGTTATCATTTCTTACTCAATAATATAACTATTATATATAACATGTGTTACATTAATTTATATTGTTGAGTGAAAAATTATAATATTGATATAATACATTACTGTTTGTGTTCTGCGGGAAAATATTAAAATCAAACTGAGTATGTACCGGGATCATGAATCATGTAGTGCACCCATCCTTGACTTTGTTGGATCCCAATAGCTCTCCATTCTTGCTCGGACAGCAAATGAGTTCTCGGCACCAGTTTCACCATTTCTTTCGGTAAAACCACATGCCTATATATAAATTAAAGAATAAAAATGAAAAAATATATATAGAAAATAGAAATAAAAAATACATAAAAACGCAAAATAAGAAATATATATACAATAAGCTTTATTTGTAATTTCTCAAATTTTAATATATACATTCTTTGATAAAAAAAGTTTATTAAATGCACAAGTCTAGACGTTGGGATTATTTTCTCAATAATACAT